ATTTCATTTGTCTAAGTCCCCATTTCATGGTATATATAAAACAATATAAATTTATTTACTTTGAAAAATAAATGAAAATTTTAGCTTATTATTATTATTATTATACACCAAACTCTTGCACGTGCCAAATAATACATATGTTACCAACAAAGGAAATAAAAAAGCCATCTTTTTTAATTTTATCTGTATGGGAGCCCATTTTAATATCACAAAATTGAATGGACAAGACAATTCTGATCGGACGGTTCAGATTTAACCTGTATTTATACATATTATTCGTGGTTACGGAAAAATTCCAAGATTACAAGAGGATGGTGCCGAATCAGTAGGGGTGTTCTGGTCTTTTCACATTATTGGGAACTATAAATTGCGGTCGGACCCCGACTATCAAGTTTACCCGCTGATAACAACCAGAGGTTGCACAGTGCGTCGTTGAATCAATTCCTCTCTGGGACTGATTTCCCGGTCGTCGGAGTTCCTGTTTTCTGATCAAACATTCGTATTCTCTCTTTTTCCATCTCTCTATTTCTCTTTAGTGTTCATTTTGTTCTTCGATTTTTCTCTGATTCGAGGTTTGTTTTTGTGTTTTTTCTCAGAGGTTTTCGAGACTGACGAAGAGCTGGGTAATAACAGAGCTGGTGGTGTGATGGGGTTTTGTGTTTCCCCATTGGGAACACCGGCTAGGTTACTGTGGAGTACCAGCTTCTTCCGCCACAAGCTCATGATTTTTTAATTTTCAGCTCTGTCGCTGGAAATACCCAACCCCCATCTAAATCTTTTCTTCTTTTAATAAAGATCTCCCTCGATTTCGTGTTCCTCTGGCCAATCCGTAAATCGCTGGTGATCCCCTCTCACGATACCTGTTTCAGATTTTAGAGAATAATTGATGATGACGGACGGTTTGATCTTCAACCGGTCTCCAGGTCACAGCAACATGCTGTTTTTCGGTAGTGGCGATTCCGTTCTTCGTGGTAATTTTCATTTTAGTTCACTGATTAGTAGAGGAATTGATGAATTTTTCATTCGAAGGGGGTTTTAATAAGTATATCGAGATAAAATTTCTTTAAATTGTGATTCTGCAAATGTTAGGACCAAGGTTCGCGATGGGGATGGAGGAAACTTCAAAGAGGCGACCCTTTTTCAGCTCACCGGATGACCTGTTCGACGACGACTACTACGATGACCAACCGCCTGAGAAGAAGCGCCGGCTAACTCAAGAGCAGGTATTCAAGCAATTCTAGTTTTGATAATATAGCACATTTATTTCATTAATTGTTTCGAATCAATGCTGATCTCATTGTTAGCAAGTTCTGTGATGAGAAAAAATTAAGCATCGTTCTTGGATTATGAAACTTCACTCTTTCTCTAGATAAAATGCTAAAGGAAAATTCCCACAGGGGAATCGTGTACATGGCTAGTATAATTGGGTACAATATCAAGTTCATTTTGAGTATACAGTTTGTTTCTGTTCTGTTTCTGGTTTTCTTTACTGTTCTTATTTTTTATCCTTCAATGTTCCATTGCTTATTAATTACTGAGACTGCGCACCTTATATTTTTATAACAATCTTTACTGCTGATCAACCCTTATTCATGGCCAACGATTAGGTGCATCTGCTGGAGATTAGTTTTGAATCAGAAAATAAACTGGAGCCAGAGCGCAAGACTGAGCTAGCAAACAAACTGGGTCTGCAGCCAAGGCAAGTGGCTGTGTGGTTTCAAAATCGCCGAGCTCGATGGAAGACAAAGCAGCTCGAAAGGGACTATGATCTTCTCAAATCTTCATATGATTCCTTTCGTTCGAGCTACGACTTTGTTGTCAAGGAGAATGAAAGGCTCAAAGCTGAGGTATCTATCCCCACTGAAAGCTATATAGTTTGTCATTTTGGCACTTTGGTTTTACAGTGGAGGTTTTACCCTTGCTTCTGAACTGTTATTAATTGTCCATAAACCTTTCATATGTTTATGCCATGTTTTGAAGATGCTGAAAACTGTCTTTGATGTGACATGTTTTCTGGATATAAGTTTAAGTAGAATTCTTTGTGAACCTTTAGGATGGTGGCCATTTATCTTAGTTTCTTAAGATGACTCTGTAGTTTCCAGTTAATCTTGCAAGTTTCTTAGTCACATTTAATGAAGGACGTCTTGTAAACTTGTGGTCGTACAATTGAGTTCGACTTTTTAGGCACGAGAAGTTAATCTGGCATAGGTTCATAACCCAATTCCAAGGATCGAGAGAATATATGGGTTACTTTCATAGGGACTCAGTATTGTTACATACCCACCAGTCTCTTATGCATGCTCAATTTCTGAACTCAGGTAGCTTCATTATCTGAGAAACTTCTAGCTAAGGAAGTGGTTGAATCCTCGTTTCAAGCTAAGAAATCCGAGCCATTTTTGGAACACCAAATCCTTGTTCCTGTTGTGCAACACAGCATGAAGATTGAGGACCACCATAGTTGCAGGAGCAATGGAAGTGCCGTGCTGGACGAGGACGGTCCTCATCTCTTAGACAGTGGGGATTCGTACCTCCTGAGCAATGACTATAATGGCTGTGTTTTGCCTGTTTTTGGAATGAACTCGGAGGAGGAGGATGGAAGTGACGATGGTCAGGGTTACTTCTCAGCCATTTATACAACAGACGATCAGCAGACGAATGAGGTAGAGCCTTTGACCTGGTGGGACTGGACGTCGTAATGCAATGTTCGAATCATCTCGATATGTAGTTGGGTGGAACTAAAATATAAGGTTTACTATTTGATACAGATGAATAAGGTTAAGGCTAGTGTGAATATTCCTTAGTTAATGTATGTGTATGGATAAAACTTGCATCTTGTACCATTACAATGTTGTTCTGTGTTAAGGCCTTAGTTGGGCACCTTCAGGACTGGCCAAGTTGTAAAAATCTTTGTAATGTTGACCTTTTCTTTTTCGTTTCACACCCTCAATGTGTTCATCTTTTAAGAGCTTCCTTTCACAAGCGTTCATTTTTTTACATTTTAGTCTAACGCGTTAGTTGGGCACTTTAGAAAGCACGTGATTAAGAACAAAACATGTTGAAAGGACTCATGTTGATATATCGGACTCATGTTGATATATCAGATAGTTTTTCACTCTTAGAAGTGAGAAATAAGTAACATGATAATCTCGTAGGGAAATGTCGAGACATGCAAGTGTTGATTTTAGTTTCAAATCTTGGATATGGGGTGTAACATATAAGTATTATAAGATCATGAGTTCGAGAGTTGTAGAGAATCAAATAGTGTATATCAAATCCTTTTTCTGTGCCACGAGATCTCAAAGAACAACATCCGAATTCATTGTATTTGAATAGATCAATCCCTCTGAACCCATTTTTTTCAGAAGAACAAAGACAAATGCTAGCTTGTTCCTCTCCCCACCTTGACTAATGAAACAGGAAAGACATTAAATGAAAAGGGTCATGTTTGCTGCAAATTAAATGAGGGTTGCTGTTGGAAAGATGACAAAAAAAGTAGCTGAAAGGATGTAACTTCATGACCATGGTGGCTACATTCCAACCTTTGAACTCATCTCAGTTCATAGTCCTTGCTTCTTTAATTTAGACTCCCAATACCTCCAAAGCCAAAGAACCCGGCAAAGGAATTGAGTGGCCAAACAGTGAATAGTGGTTTTGGTCCCCAAACAGTGAATGGTGGCTAGATTCCTACCTTGAACTCATCATCTCAGTTCATAGAAATTGTCCCGTTACCTATCGCCTTTTTAATTCTCTTCGGTCTCTTCAACTGATGTAGGGTTTCACAATCCATCCCTTCGAGTTCCAGTGTCTTCACTAACACATCGGGTTGGGGGAAGTTTTCACACCCTTATAAAAATGTTTAGTTTCTCTCTCCAACCAATGTTAGATCATACAAGATTTTGAATTTTGAGATCCTTTTATAACATAGCATACGACCGACAAACAAGATTTTGTATTGACAAATTATACTATGAACTTTACATCCTTGTAAGAGTTCACATATGAATAATATATATTAAGTTACACGACTCAAATTTAGAAGACATAAGGAAAGTAAAAAAAGAAAAAAAAAATTATAACTATTAGTAATCTAATTAAGTTTGATAATTGATTATATGATATGTAAAAATAAAATAGTATTGGCATTGTCCAAAGTACTAAAAAGAATGTGTATTGTAGGACCCTATTTCCACCCCTTGACATGTGCTTTGGAATAGTGTTTTGAAATTTCTACTATTTTCTTTTTGTAAGAAAATAAATTATTGGAGAAAATCATGATCAGCTTCTCAACTAATATCACGAAATAACAGTTCGACTTTACGACATTTTGAATGTATATTTGTATTGTATCAAGTAAATAGTTATCGTGTTTCTTTTTATGTTCATTATTGTTCTCCCCTGATCATCAATTCTTCTACTCGCATGGATACATTGAAATTATTGAATTTTGCTATTTGATCTCATTTCTCTTCAAATGGTCAACTAATTAAAGTTGACCGTTTTTCCTTCATCAAGAGATAACGGTAATCATGTTAGTAGTCACATGCATTTCTTCTTTTCTTCAACGATTTTATTTGCTTTTACTTTCTTGATTTTGTTAGTGAATGAAGTGGACAACTCGATAAAAGAAATTTGATATGTTTTTTTCGTTCAACAATGGAGGGACGGAAATATTGGAACCTCTAACTTCTTGGTTGAGATTACCTTTGACTAAATTAACTGAGCTACGTTCAAATTTACAAGAAATTTGACACGTTGGTTCGAAATAAATGAATATTGTGTATTGAATTATCTAAAAAGAATAAAATAATAGGAAACAAACAAAAGAAAGGATTATCCACCAATGTATTTATATCCTACTTTTCAAAGAAACAAACAAGAAACTTACAGAAATTAAAAACAAACAAAGAACGTGTTACTTGCACAATCAATATGTTCTAACAAAAATTGATTCCCCCATGTTTAAAAAATTTCCTTTTCCCAAGCTTAGTTATTTCAGTAACTGAGAAACAAAATGGATCGTAAATTCTAACAAACTATGATACTTTATTCATTAAAAAAAGCTTGAATCAAGCTCAGCCAATCAAACCACATAATAAATTCTGAACAACCATTGCTTTCATAGTTTTCTTTTCATTCTTCCATTGCTATCATTGCGAAGGAATTTTAAGCTTTTCAATCACAATGCATGTTAGTTGATACAGTACCCACGTTTCTCAGATTGAGCTCATTAAGTTCATTGTTCATTGTTCATTGCTTGTCTGCATTTTCTTTTGCAGTTTTCCTCCATGCAACTGACTAGAAAGCTTCCTTGCTTCAATTTTGGGACATTTTTCCTCTGAATTAGCCTTAATGGATCCGAACTTGATCTGGGGTTATCCTGAAAAGGTATTTCCATCTGTTATTTCAACAGATGGTTCTCGAAATCTGATCTTCTTGGCTTTATTTTGTTGCAGAGGGATTCATGGAGGACAATTTTCACTTTGGCTTATCAGGGTTTGGGGGTTGTTTATGGGGATTTGAGCACTTCTCCGCTGTATGTGTACAAAAGCACTTTTGCAGAAAACCTTCAGCACTCTGAGACGAATGAGGAGGTTTATGGGGTTCTTTGCTTTGTGTTTTGGACTTTGACACTTATCCCTTTACTTAAATATGTGTTCATAGTTCTTAAAGCTGATGATAATGGCGAAGGGGGAACTTTTGCTCTGTATTCACTGCTCTGCCGCCATGCTCGCCTTAGCTCCCTTCCAAATCACCAGCTTGCAGATGAGGAGCTTTCTGCTTATAAAAGAGATACACCTGAACCCACTAGTAATTTTAGTTTCAGTTCTTGTTTGAAAGCAACTCTGGAGAAATGTAAAGTTTTGCAGAGAATCTTGCTTGTTCTTGCCTTGATTGGGACTTGCATGGTTATCGGTGATGGAGTTCTCACACCAGCAATTTCAGGTGGCTGATTTGGTTTTTATGTTTTATTAGATTCAAAAATGTTATTCTAAGTTGGGAGGTTTTTGTTTTTTGTTCATATTTTGCAGTCTTTTCAGCTGTGTCAGGGGTTGAGTTATCCATGGCTAAGGAACATCACCAATGTAAGTTTCTTTTTCAGTTCATCCCTGAATTTTGTGATACCTTGATGGATCTGCATCTACTGTTTCAATGGAGGCCAATTGATCTGTATTAGCTTTTGTATTATCTTTGTATCAACATGTGAGATCTCACATTGGTTAGAGAGGCGAACGAAACATTCTTTATAAGAATATGGAAACCTCTCCCTAATAGACACGTTTTAAAACCCTGAGGCCGATGGCGACACGTAACGAGCTAAAGCGGACAATACCTGCTAGCGATGGGCTTGAACTGTTGCAAACGGTATTAGAGCTAGCCAGCGAGGACGCTAGCCCCTAGGGGGTGGATTGTGAGATCCCACATAAGTTGGAGAGGGGAACGAAGTATTCTTTATAAGGGTATGGAAACCTCTCCCTAGTTGACACATTTTAAAACTGTAAGGCTGACGACGATACGTAACAGGCTAAAGCAGATAATATCTGCTAGTGGTGGGCTTGAGTTGTTGCAAATGATATCAGAGCCAGCCAATGAGAATGCTAGGCCCCTAAGGGGTGGATTGTGAGATCCCACATCGGTTGGAGAGGGGAACGAAACATTCTTTATAAGGGTGTGGAAACCTCTCCCTAGTAGATGTGTTTTTAAAACTGTGAGGCTGATGACGATACGTAATGGGCCAAAGCGAACGATATCTGTTTGCGGTAAGTTTGGGCTGTTACATTAAAATTCTAGATTCGATATCTTCTCAAATGCTAGGAAGTCGATGAGTAGAATTGCTGGTTCGGTTAGATATAATCTTGAATAAGATGATCAAATTTGTAAAATGGTTTGGTGGAGTCTGCTAGTTCTTGCTTTTGTCGTACTATTTGGTAGCAACTCTGAATGGTCATAAACATTGCACAAATGAAGGCAAGATTTCGATCATATGAATTATGAAATGACATTTACTTTTAAGTAACATTTTTTGGTGTTTGATTCAGAAGAACGTTCCGTTCTCTTGCAGATATTAAAGTCCCTCTGGCATGTGCCATTTTGGTATTCTTGTTTGCATTGCAACATTACGGCACACATCGGGTCGGGTTCCTGTTTGCTCCAGTTGTAATTGTATGGCTTCTATGCATCAGTGCCATTGGTTTGTACAATATCTTCTATTGGAATCCTCTTGTTTACAAAGCACTCTCCCCATATTACATGTATAAGTTCTTGAAAAAAACCAAAAAGCAAGGTTGGATGGCGTTGGGCGGAGTCCTCTTGTGTATAACGGGTACGATGATGTTAGATCCAACCGCAATCAATTCTTTACGTCTGTTTCCTTTGTTTCTGATATGGTCGATTATGATTTTCAGGCTCGGAAGCAATGTTTGCTGATCTTGGACACTTTTCACCTTTTTCTATCAAGGTACTAATCTGATATTGTCTACTTTGAGTATAATCTCTCGTGGCTTTACTTTTGGTTATCCCATAGGACTCATACCAATAGAGATAGTGTTCCTTACTTATGAACCCTCGATCCTCCTCTTAATTAGCTAATGTGGGACTACTACTCTCAATAATCCTCAACAATCCTTTCCTTGAACAAAGTACACCATAGGGCCTTCCCTGAGACCTCCTTCTCTAGAGCTCTCGGACGTCTCCCGTAATCGATACTCAACTCTTCTTTGGAGTCTTTGAACAAAGTACACCATAGAGCCTCCTCTGAGACTTCCTTCTCTAGAGCTCTCAAACAGCCTCCCCTTAATCGATACTCAACTCCTTTGGAGTCCTTGAACAAAGTACACCCTTTGTTCGACACTTGAGAGGCTCGACTCCTTCTGTGGAGCCCTCGAACAAAGTACACCCTTTATTTGACACTTAAGTCACTTTTGACTACACCTTCGAGACTCACAACTTATTTGTTTGACACTTGAGGATTCTATTGACATTGCTAAGTTAACCGCTTGACTCTGATACCATGTTAGGAACCATGATGTTCCACAATGGTACGATATTATCCACTTTGAGCATAAGCTCTAAAGGCTTTGCTTTTGGTTCTCCCAAAAGGCCCCATACCAATGGAGACTGTTCCTTACTTTTGAACCCATGATCTTCCTCTTAATTAGCCAATGTAGGACTACTCCTCTCAATAATCCTCAACACTCTTTAGCTTTCTAGGTCACGAGCACAATATTTCAATGTTTTCGTAACAATAAGTCACAATGCTGCAGCTTGCTTTCACTTTTGTGGTTTATCCATCCTTAGTTCTTGCATATATGGGACAAGCTGCTTATCTTTCTAAGCATCACAATCTCGACAACGATTATCGAATCGGATTCTATGTTTCTGTTCCTGGTAGGTTGGTTTTAGTATTACCTCTCTTTTTAGTTGAACCAAATAGGCCAATATGAAGTAATGTAAGGAGCTGCCTATGTCTTTTTGCAGAGAAAGTAAGATGGCCTGTTCTTGCAATAGCAATACTTGCAGCAGTTGTGGGCAGTCAAGCAATCATCACGGGCACGTTTTCGATCATCAAACAATGTTCTTCTTTGGGTTGTTTTCCAAGAGTAAAGATCGTTCATACGTCTTCGAAAATACATGGCCAGATTTACATTCCCCTCATCAACTGGATACTAATGATATTATGTTTAGCTGTTACCATTGGATTTCGAGAGACAGAACGCTTGGGCAATGCAGCAGGTATTTGTTCATTGCTAATGCTTTTTATCATCTGTTTCTTGAACTTAACGACATGTCGGTCTGTTTGTTTATCATTCAGGGTTGGCAGTTATTACCGTTATGCTAGTCTCGACGTGTCTAATGTCACTTGTTATTGTGTTATGTTGGCATAAAAGTGTCTTCCTAGCCATAGCCTTCCTAGTCTTCTTTGGCTCCATAGAAGCTCTCTACTTTTCTGCCTCTCTTATGAAGTTCTTTGAAGGGGCTTGGGTTCCTATTGCACTTTCACTGACATTCCTTGTGGTTATGTATGTTTGGCACTATGGCACTCTAAAGAAATATGAGGCTGATGTTGAAAACAAAGTCCCTATAAATTGGCTCCTCGGTATAGGTCCCAAAATCGGGATCGTTCGGGTTCGGGGGATCGGCCTTGTACATACCGAACTCGTTTCAGGGATCCCTTCCATTTTCTCTCATTTTGTCACAAACGTTCCAGCCTTCCACCAAATTCTAGTCTTCCTCTGCATCAAATCTGTCACAATGCCTCATGTGAGACCTGAGGAAAGGTTCTTGGTAGGAAGAGTTGGGCCAAAAGAGTATCGACTCTACCGCTGCATTGCACGATATGGCTACCGTGATGTGCACAAGGACGACTTGGAATTCGAGAGAGACCTCACCTGCAGCATTGCAGAATTCATCCGATCCGAGAAAACAGAATGCAACACTTCCAGACACGAGGACTTGGATGACAATGACGACAACGAAAGAATGAGAGTGATTGGGACTTCATCAACTCAACTAAACGGTATACGAATGTGTGAAAACGAATCGTGTTCTTTGCCGATCGTCAGCAGTTCAGAGATAAGGTCGGAGAGGTTGAGGAAGAAAAGAGTAAGATTCGTTCTACCCGAAAGTACGAAAATGGATGTCGATACAAGGAGAGAACTGCAAGAGTTGATGGAAGCAAGGGAGGCAGGAATGGCATTCATAATGGGACATTCATATGTGAAGGCAAAGAAAGGATCAGGTTGGATGAAGAAGGTTGTGCTTAATTATGGGTATGATTTCTTGAGGAAAAACTCAAGAGGCCCATCTTATGCTTTGAGTATTCCCAACGCTTCTACTCTTGAGGTTGGTATGGTTTATTATGTTTAAAAAATTGTAATTTTTGGTATTTTTTAAATCGGAAACAATTATGTACACAAATTTGATAGTTTAGGGACTTATTAAATACATTTAAATATATTTTAGTCTCTTAATCAGATTAATTACATAATTTTTTAAAATTTTGAAAAAAAAAACATGAATTTTGATGGGTATTTAAAGCAATGGATCATATATATATATACACACACTTTGGTTAAAGTACAATTTGAGCATTAAAGATTAATTAATAGATTTTTGAAAGAAAACATTCTTTGAGAGAGAAAGATTAGAGGTGTATTACTGTTATTAATATTATTCCACACATAATAATTGAGATCTGAAATGGAAAGGCACGTGATGGGCTGAGGACAACAAATCATTAAAAAACAAAAAAACTTTTTCTAAGATTTTTATTAAATTGATATCCTAATTACACGCTAAGTTTAGTTTGATCTAATAATAAAATGTTTGAATCGAGTTTGATGGGTTTATTCAAAATTTTGTATGATATGAGCCAATTTGATCGATTTTTCATTGAATGTTTGAATCATCCACTCATAACAAAGCTGAAGTTTACAAAAACTTGATTTTGAAGTTTTACGGGCTTTGGACCAAAAGCATAGGGAATGTTTCTTTATTGTAATAGTCTTCTACCTTCTTTCTCTTTGCCCGAGAAGGTGATTTCTTATTTTGTTATTTTTTAATAAAATTGAATTAGAGTCGAGTTGATATAAATGGTGACGGGTTAATATGTTCGGGTGTGTGCTGGCTGGTTGGTCTCACTCTATGCTCTACTGGCCCTTCGGCTCTGTTTCCGCCTTGGTTTTGTTTTGGGTTTTGGCCTTACTACCTCAATTTCTTTTTCACTCATTGGGACAGCTCTATCTCGTCAATTGCATCTTCTAAAACCACTAAACCTTCTTTGTCTCTTTCACTGTCATTCCTTCTGAGAAAAGGGTACCACATGGTTGATATGTAGAGGCCAAAACCGGTCAACTTTCTTTTCCTCTTTACTCCACTCTTCCTCTATATGTGTACCTTCAATCCCCCAAGTTTTTGAGGGTTTTCCCTCCTCAATCTTCCTCATTCTCGACAATGGCCAGGATTTCCCTCGCTTTTGCTCTCGTTTTTCTTCTTCTTTTTGGTGGGGTTTCTCCTGCTTCTGCTTCGCCTCCTGGAAGTAAGTATATTTGATGATTATGATGACGATGAGGAAGATGAGTAATTTTGAGAAGCACCCATGTCCTTAATCTTATGATTTTTGCATGTTTTCCCCTCTTTAAATGCTGTCTATGGCTCACTCAGCCTACTGCATTTCCACTTTTTGTGCAGAAATTGTTCGTGGGGTTGTTTCGAATGTGGTTTCTTCTCTTGTGAAGAAGTTATGGTCGATGAAATCCACTGCCAAAACTGGTATGGATCTTTCTTAGCTGCCTTGGATATGAAGTGGTCTGTAATTTTTTAACTGGGTTTTCTGCTTAATCTTCTCAGCTGTTTCCAGCCGTTCGATGATGAAATTCGAGAGTGGATATACGGTTGAGACGGTGTTCGATGGCAGTAAGCTGGGAATCGATCCTTATTCGGTCGAGATGTCGCCTAGTGGGGAGCTGCTGATCTTAGATGCTGAAAACAGTAACATCTATAAGATCTCAATGCCATTGTCTCGATGTAAGCATCCTTTTGGGTCACCATTTTTATGCCACATGATGAACATTGAGCTCATTATTTTTATGACACATGATTGGAAGTTTCAAATGGAAGCTTGTGTTTTACTTTCTTGAGCTCTTGATTATTTTTTCTAATAGATTATTGTACTTTTGTTTTGAAGAAGGATCCACTTTTTGGAGTACGATGTACGTTTCTTAGTTCTGTCTCTTCTTGGCACTTGATGGTATCAGTTTTGGTCCTTTATTTCTTCCAAGCTTTGTTAGGCTAAAAAGAGAAGGCTATTCACCAAAAGTTGTGGCATACATTGGTCATTATCTGAATAAGACTTAGTAGAATGTTTTATGAAAGGATCTGTATGCACTACCTATACTTTTCTGATGAGTTTGCTGCAATCTTCTCTACTGGATGATGTGCAGATAGCAGACCAAAACTGGTTTCAGGATCTGCAGAAGGATACCCCGGACATGTCGATGGCCATCCAAGAGAAGCAAGGATGAATCATCCGAAAGGGCTTACTTTGGATGAAAGGGGCAATATATACATTGCAGACACAATGAATATGGCTATCAGAAAGATTAGTGACACTGGTATATCTACAAATAATCAGGATTTTGTAGTAGTATCCATATTAATATCTGTCTTCCTTTCAACGTAACGGTCTGGTTTAAATGTGTATGCACGTGGAGCTTCTATCAGTGTTAAGTTTCATAGGGTGAAAACTCTTATATGTGAGGTTAACTGCAGGGGTTACAACTATTGCTGGTGGAAGATGGAACCAAGGGAGTGGTCATATTGATGGTCCTAGTGAAGATGCAAAGTTCTCAAATGATTTTGATGTTGTTTATGTGGGAAGTAGCTGCTCTCTTTTGGTTATAGACAGAGGAAACAAGGCGATTCGAGAGATTGAACTTAACTACGACGACTGCAATACTCAATACGCTGATAGTCTCAACTTGGGTAGAACGAAAAACCTTACTCCTGCTATGTTCTTCATCTCTGCTATTTCTTCTTATGGTAACATGAAAACTGTACAATCTCTATCTGCAGGGGTAGTGTTGTTGGTTGCTGCTGGTTTGTTCGGCTATCTGCTTGCTCTGCTCCAACGTAGAGTGCAAGCAGTGCTTTCTTCACCAAAGGTAGATCATTCCACAAAATTCATATTTTTTCTCGTTTCAAAGAAATAACTATGTTGTCTCATATATACATACATTGTTATGAACATCTGGGTGCTGCCATTTGGCGGATGGTAGTGGGTTGTGATTTTGTAAGTTGAGTAATTATTGTGTAACAAGACAAGCCCGCCCACTGCTAGCAGATATTGTCTTCTTTGGGCAGATTTCCCTTCCAAGCTTTCCCTCAAGGTTCTTTAACATGTTTGTTAGGGAAAGCCCAAAGAGGACAAGATCTGTTAGTGGTGGGCTTGAGTTGTTACAAATGGTGTCAAAGCTAGACACAAGGCGGTGTGCCAACGAGGACGCTGGGCTCCCAAAGGGGGTGGATTGTAAGATCCCACATCGGTTGAAGAGGGGAATGAAACATTTCTTATAAGGGTGTGGAAATCTCTCCCTAACAGACACGTTTTAAAACCTTGAGGAGAAACCCATAAGAGAAAGCCCAAAGAGGACAATATGTATTAGCAGTGGGATCGGACTCTCGTATATGTTACGTTACAAATAGCTACTTTTTCTTTTTTCTTTTGTCTTTGTGTTAAGAAAATTCATTTTATTGGAAATCTTGGTTTGGATGAAAATGAAATGGACCTTAATGCTTCGTGTTTGGATGGTAGGATGAGGATGTAAGAAGTCATCAAATGAAGAAGGCTGCACAAGCTGCCCAATATCAAAGACCTCCTCTCAAGTCAGTCAGGCCTTCCTTGATTCCAAGTGAAGATGAACCAGAGAAACTGGAGGAAGGATTCTTTGGTTCGCTTGGGAGGCTTTTCGTCAACAGTGGCTCGTCTGTAGCCGACATCGTTGGGGGATTTTTGCCTGGATTTCGAAGGAAGCCTCTCAATAACCAGATCCATCAGCAGTTTCAACAAGTCAACAGACATCCAAACTCTTGGCCCTTGCAAGAAAGTTTTGTGATTCCAGATGAAGACGAGCCACCATCCATTGAAACGAAAACTCCGACAATAAAAAAAACGTATCCATTTATGACACAAGACCTCGATCGATCTCATCAGTTCAAGCCAAACAGAAACTACTTCAATGGGTGGGACAATGGTGGTGAATTCCATCAACAGCAGCAACAGCCGCAGCAGATACATCATCAACAGCAGCAGATACAGCAGCAGCCGCAGCAGCAGCAAATACAGCAGCAGCAGCAAATACAGCAGCAGCAGCAGATGCAACATCATCAGCAGCATCATTATCAGCAATATCAGCAATATCACCATCGACAATACTCTGCAGGTCCGACAACATACTACGAGAAGAATTGCGAGACGAAAGAAATTGTGTTTGGTGCAGTTCAAGAACAAGATGGACGCCGTGAAGCTATGGTGATCAAGGCTGTTGATTATGGAGATCCAAGATATAACCATCACAACATTCGAGCTCGATACAACTATACTGGTAATCCCAATTCTTATTGACAAGAAATAAAACATATATCTTTCAATGCTTTGAGTTGGTGAATTGGGGAATATGTGGGGGAGGAGTAGATTTAGGAGTCAGGATATGCTTTCTTTGTTTGTGCCACAAGTCCAAACCATGTTTTTATGGTGAGGACTGAGGAATGCTAGTCTTCATACAGTTGTTCATGCTTCATATTTGTTTGTCGTATTCATATCATCGGTCGAAATCAAGGATACTTGTACTTGTTAATGTTGAATGCATATCGTTAGTTCATATCAAACGTTCTTCATACATCCCATCCTACTGTACGAACAAGTCGAATCCAGAACGTGTTGGTTGGAAGATTCATTTCTGCCATTTTGAGTTTCTCTTGCAGCAAGTAAAAGAAAAATATCATGATGTTCATGTTCTAAACATTGCTGCCTCAGCTGTTTTTTATCATACCATTTGTTAAGGTATGATGGAACCATTTAGAAGTATTTGTAGACCAAACTTGACAATGAAGTATCAAATGGTTGCATTGCAAGTCTAGTGGATGTAGATCATGAAAGCAATAAAGCATTATAACATGAGGGGTTTGACATGCAACGCGAATACGACCATGGGCAACATGCCCTGGACAAGCATGACTATGATGCCAGGGACCCTTCTATAAGATTTGAAATTTCCTTTTCGAATCCAAAAATTTTTAGATATGAAGTAGAGGAGAAGTGATCGTAGAGGTAGGAGAGTTCGCGAGGGTAGAGACGAAGCACATCGCAGACTGAAATTAGACGATGGTGGTGAGATCTCATTACCTTATCTC